AATATAGATGAGTAAAAGAACAATCACTATATATCCACTTGTTTACCAATTTCATTTATTTTATTCTTTCAAGGTGTAAAGGAATTCGTTGAAGCTGAGCTGTTGCTAGACAAAATAGCTCAGCTTCCTATATCTTAAAATAAAACGCTTCTTAAGCAACAATAATAAGAACTTATTTCAGAATTATTAAAAAAAATATCAGTTTAGGGATTGAAATAATAAGATTTGCCATATTTTATCTTCTGAAATAACTCACAGTATTCAAACTTCTTAAGTTCTACTATACAAGAAACAGTATTAGATATTAACGGTTATATTTATCATATTAATTATATACAGTTTGAAAACATTTTACGGTTACAAGTCAACAACACCGAAGGGAAAGGCTTTCACGTTATGATTCCCGTTAATTAGGGAAAAATATGCTTTTGGTACATTTAAATTAATATCTGATTACGAAAAGCACAGAAGCGTTAATTACAAATTAACAAGAGCCTTGGAAAACATAATGAGATGCTAAATGTGAACAGATTTTCGTGGAAATGAATATCAAAATACAAACAATTAATTTTAATGATTCGTGGAAATGTTCGAAATCATAGACATTGCATAAATATTTTTTTAGTTTGATAACAGAACTCATCATAGTATGGTTCTGAAGTCGTTCGTGCAAAAAAAAAAAAAAAAAAAAAAAAAAAATACTAAAACCAGGTTTAGGAGACACTAGAAAAAAAAAATGATTTTTTAAAAATTTAAACATTAGTCTAATATAATGTGTTTCATAAATAAAAAACAAAAGATTAAATTTAAAAAATATTATCTGCGATTTGTAAGGAATAAATGTGTATGTAAGATGTTGATTCGATTTTTAGGTAGATAACGGTTATAGCAAAAAAACTTTAACCGGATTCAGATATCCTTGAATTTCTTTTTGAATTAAATCCAAAAAGTTAAGGTATTCATTGTGATAACTATTGTAATTAACTTTATTTCTTATCACAAAATCTACTTAAATATTTAACAGTTACTAAGCCGATAATTTTGTTCCTATTATTTCTTTGAAAAATTATGTTTTTTTTTTTTCAACATAGTGAATGCTTTGTGAGAAAAATGAATTCAGACAATTAAGGCAAAGCGGCCTGCCGAAAAAAAAAACTGTGAAGAGATCCATTATCTCCTTCCTGTTGCGTTTCTCCAAGAATCATTAAGCCTCAAACAAAATATATTCTCTCTTATCCAAAAATAAATATAACATCCTATCATCTGCAAGGAACGGGACAAGAAAATAAATAGCCATGCATTTGTTTGAGTTGTTGAACCTCGTTTAATCTCTGTAAAGAGCCCTATATATTACCTTGAAAAACGGCTGTGTGTTTGTGTCAACTCTTAAACCGGACAGCTCAGTCACACTGCCTGGTGAATAAGTTGAGCACGTAGTGGTTAACTAGAACAAACTTTCTTCTTCACCTTCGCCTGACCAAGATTAACCACCGAGGAACTACCTGATGGAAGTCTTGGCCTTGTCCTGAGTGTTGTTGTTTATTACAAAACTAGTTGGACCGGGAAAATAATTTCCAAGATATATTGGTTAGCAAATGACAAAATATTGAGTAAATAAGTTAATGCCATCTATCATCAGGAGGAGGAATCAATTCTGTTTTACTCGGTAGTTATAATTGGCCGAGAAAAAGAAAAGTATTCTAAACCGTTCATGCTAAAAAAAAAAAAATCCATAACACCAATTATATGTATTATATATTCCTTGGTTGGTAAAATAATCCCCACTCAATGTAAGCATAACTGCCTCGTGCCAGTTACAGATGATGCATACCAATAGACGCAGACTTTCGATAAAAAAAAAAAAACAAATAAATAAATAATGGGAATTTTTGTTATGTATAAAAATTCAAGATAATTATTGTGAAGCGAACAATTATAATATTGAATATTTAAAATTAATTTTACACGACACGGGTCAGAACTATCTTCCATCAGGTCTATCTCAGCAGGAGTACCTCAAGGTTCAGTACTCGCTCCACTACTCTATATCACATACACCCATGACATACCTTGTAGTCCCAACATTTTAACAGCGATATATGCAGACGACACAGCAATTTTAGAAAGACACAAAAATCCAACATACGCCTCACAGACCCTACAACAGTATTTAACAAGATTACATGACTGGTTCAAAATTTGGAAAGTCCGACTAAATCAAGACAAATCACAGCACATCACATTTACGCTTCGACATGAAAAATGCCCTCCAGTTTCCTTGACACTACACAGATTCCACAAACAGACACTGTTCACTACCTTGGTCTGACATTTGACAGAAAAATGACGTGGGCCCACATATAATCAAAAAACGAAAAACGTTAAATCAAAGATTAAGAATTTTGAGTTCACTTCTTTCGAAAAATTCAAAACCAAAACTTAGACAGAAATTGAACACATACAATTACTTACTAAAACCTATTTGGACTTACGCATCACAGATATTTGGAACTGCTAAAAAGACTCACTTAAACAAACTTCAAATTTTTCAAGCAAAAACATTCAGAACAATTACAAAAGCACCTTGGTACGTTAGCAACATAACGTTACATACTGACCTCCATATGCCGACTGTTAATGAACACATACGTACTCATTACAAACGATTCCATGACAACTTACAAGGACATTCTAATACAATTATAAACGACATGGCCACTACGAATATTCCAGGTAACGTCTGTAGAAGATTGAAGAGGAGCTGGATGAGGGACCTCCTCGCCTAATGTAGATATCACGCCGAGTGAGGTGCCGCTGGGTACTGATCCTCCTCATGCCTTTCATGACATTATATTTAGCAATCGATCTCACATTCACCGGTTGTCATTACCATTATGACAGGTGTGAATAAAACATTAAAGCAAAAAAATTGTTTATATCGGAAGGGAGGTACATAACCTTCATGTTATTGGCGCATTTCTATAACTTTTTCAGCAAAAAAAGGATAGCATACAAAAAAAAAAAAAGAAAAAATCTTTGATTTATTTGTGTTTTTCAGAGTCCGACTATTTTGTCGTGGAAAATGTTATATGAATATCATGTGAAAATTGTGGGATGATTGAATCATAAAATCCTAGAATATGTTATATATATATATATATATATATATATATATATATATATATATATATATATATATATTATCTAATATTAATATTATATTTATTATCTTTAAATATAAGTAAATGTATATACATATATACATTAAGGTAACCAAAAATACTTATACTACTATGTCCTAGTCTAGCCAACTAGCCGACTTTTCTTTATCGATTTTAGTATTAGAAATACATATAGTATAGAAATTACATATAGAAGTGTAAAAATACTAATATATACAAATAATAAAGTCCTTCCACCGCTCGAGGACATTTTAAGGATTGGGGATAGCTAAAGGGAACATATGTGCAAGAAAGAGACAGTATATTCAGAAATATATATCTGCGACATTTGTGAGTAGTGTGAGAAGGGCAATTTAGTGAAATTTTATTTATTATTCACAATAATTTAATTTTATTATTCACCATAAATCTAATTTTTCTCTTCTTATTATTTTTCTCATAAACCTTTTTTTTTGTGTCTAATGGGCTAAGTTACGCGACTATTGCAGAGGTGGAATTCGTTTGAATTCGTGTGAATCACGGTTTGAAATTCGGAAGTCAACTTGCATCTGTGAAAATACCAAACATTCAATTTGCTTATTTTCCGAAAATACAATATTTGCATTTAACATTATGGATAGGTAGGTGCCATATATATATAAAATTAACTTGGAAATAATACGTATGGATACCTTCCTCCTCTCTCCATGAGGACCTAATTGATGAGATCAAAACCTTACATCATGACCTTAACATCCCTTATGTCCTTGACGTTATTCCATCCCGATTTTCAAATTTTCATCAGAACCTAACCTATCATCCTAATCCCTTAGCACAATCCTTATCTAGTTCCAGTCATCCCTACAATCCTCCTCGAAGGTTGAAGCGGCAGTGGCCTCGAGATCTTTTGTAAAGACGTCATTGGAGTCCTGGCAATGGCCAGCTTCTCCACTCAAGTCATGAGCGTATGTGGCTTTAGCGCCCTCTCTCAGTCTCCACTGGATTCCCATAATAGTGATGCGGCTGAGAGAGAAGCGCTGGGATCTCTTGGAGTCTTGCCTTGTCCTCCACACGTGGGGGAAAAGGCCCGACTCGGAGCTCCCTCGGCTGACTGTAAATATTGTAAATAAGTTTGAATGTGTTTTTATTTATTATTTTTTATTTATTTATTTTTTTTTTTATTTTAGTTTTTATTTAATGTCATATCAGTTTGATTTATTCTGTTACTCCAAGTTTTATTTTATTTTATTTTCTTATAATCTTGTTGTTCTTTTAATGTATATATGGTATGATTGTACTTCATTCATCATAAATACTCAATGCCCTTAATTGAGGCAAAATGTATTTTTTTTCTCTCAATAAAAAAAAAAAAAAATTGATGAGATATGTATTCCATGGCAACACTACAATTATCGTAAGCCTGTGCAGCTTCATACCATTTATCTTGCATTATCTCGAAAACGGTTTTGATTTTTAATACGCAGGGTCCGATAAATTCCAAAGTCCCAAATATTGTTATCCTCGCCAAATCTTTAAAATCTAATTTGCACTGTTCCGATCAACCGACTTACAACAGTTCCGGTATCGAAGCCTAGTGAAAGTTTAATTCGAGTTTACTTATATCATAAAGACAAACAAAAACGAAGAGTATGATTCGCTAACCTTTCGTGAAATTCTGAATCCAATGTTACCCAATTTATGCCATTTGGGCATTAAAGGAGCTTACATTTTGTACAAAACTGATTTTAGAAACTTATTAAAATAATATATGTAGGGAAGAAGAACTGATAATTCTCTCATTACTGAAAAAGATTTTCCTTCTCTTGCAGGTGGAGCAAGATGATGGATCCTGAAACTTACGAGTTCTTCAATGACACCATCACGGACTGGCCGAAGAGAGACCCGCTGTACATCGTGGTGCCGATGACTATCCTTTACTCCTTGATCTTCGTGACGGGCCTCATTGGAAACGTAAGCACCTGCGTCGTCATCGGGAGGAACAGGCATATGCACACTGCCACTAACTACTATCTCTTCTCGCTGGCGATCTCAGACCTCCTCCTTCTGGTGTCGGGCCTGCCCCAGGAGATGTACTACATATGGTCGAGGTAAGTTCTTGAAGATACCACTTTTTCTCTTACCGATTTATCATAACAATTTAAGCGTAACTAATAAGATTGGCTATGCGCAGAAATGTTGCAATAATATCGTTACTATATAGTATCGATCTTTTCCTTCATCGTATCGAAACAAAATATTGAATATTATGAAAATTAAAAAAAATATTAAATTAAAAAATATTTTATTATTCTGGGACTGTTGTCCCTTTAGAACAAATTATAAATACAGATTGAATGTCCGTGTGGTTACAATTAGATTATATATTTACAATAACAGTTGACTAAAGATAAAAATATTGAAGAAGAGAAAGAAAAGAAAAAGAAAATTGTACATATATATGAGGAACTAAAATAACCTAAATAAATTTATTTAGTCTCTGGGGGTGCTTAGATATTTCTCTTAAGTATATTTCGCAATCAGTCGGATTGAGAAAGGATTAGTTATTTAAAGAGGAGAGGTTTCAAAGAGGAAATTGATTGAGCGTATCGAATATCAGCAGGGATGGAATTCGAGAGAGAGGCGACTTGTATTGCAAAGGATTTGTCAAACGCAGCAGTCCGGTGAGGAGGAGGATAGAGGTCGGAAGTACGAGATCTAGTAGGACGGGATTGGATAGTGTTTGAATTTTAAGCTGTGAAAAATGTAGGAGTGTCGATGAGTTCTAATGTTTTGGTACAGAACCATTAGGAAGTACTGACGGCGATAGGATGGGTAGACTATCGTAATATTGAAAGTAAAATGGCAATATCGGAATTTGATATTTTCTTTTTCGATCATATTATAAACATAAATACATTTAATTTTAAAAAAAAAACCATAAAGTGAATGTATTTTCATATACCTTCTAATATTTTTTAAACCATTCAAATAATCATTCTTATATATCTTCACAGTCCGACTCTAGATATTCGGGGCCCTCGGTCAATGACGTCATCTCCACTCCTAAAAAATTAAATTGATTTCTTAAGCTGTTTTATTGAATACTTAATAGTTGGCCGTTGTATATTTTAGTGGAAGGGGGTGGTCCCGGGTGGTGGTCATAGAGACAAAATAGTGGAAAAACTTATTTTATTTAAAGCCAACGTTTCGACACGACTTTACAGGTCTTCTTCAGGAGGTGCATGCAACAAGAAGTTTCAGTTAGAACTGGTGTTTACCGATACATTCATAATGTAACAATATCAACAAGGAATAACGGAACAAACTCAATATTGCAACAACCACAAAGTGGTGAAAACAGCAACATAAGCCTTTTCTTGTGACTCCCTCTCTCCCTAGTAAACACTAACTGCATCTATTCCCCAAGTTATTCCAAAACCAGACATATACAATTCTTATTTTTTATTCCTTCGTCGTAAACCTATGACTTCCTGTCTTACAGTATCCTTTAATATCCCACTTATTCCTGTTGAACAAATACGATATCTTGGACTCCACCTGAACAAACGTCTCACTTGGAACCCTCATACAAGACTGAAACGACAAGAAACTGCTCGTTTCCGCTTACCCCAACACTTACTAGACAAACGCTCTAAACTTTCTATTAATTACAAACGACTAATATACATGACTATAATAAGACCTATTTGAACTTCCGGAGTTGAGCATTGGGGCTCCACAAAACTATCAAATTCCTCTCGTATCCAATCCTTACAATCCAAAATCCTTCGTGAAATCCTCAATGCTCCTTACTTTGTCACAAATAAAATAATCCATAGTGACCTTAAAGTTCCATATGTCTCTGATTTGGCTCAATGCAGATATTATCCTTCCATAATAAACTTCATAACCATCCGAACCCCCTCGTTTCTAACCTTGCTTCCTATTCGATTCCTGATAACCCCCCGAGGCGTCTGAAAAGAAGATGGCCTCGTGATCTACTTATGTAGACATATTATTAGAGCGCTACCTGTGGGTAGTTTCTCAACAAGCGTTTTTAAGTGATTATATTATTGTGTACACATTTACTTGATGTATTTATATTGTAATACAGTTGTAAATAGTTTTAAAAAATATATATCTTTTATTCAAACAGTTTTTATCTTATATTTGTAGAAATGGAAATGATTTCACCTTTCTAGTTATCGAAACTTAATTCATAACGTGTTTTTTTTTTTTTTTCGTTTTTTTCTTTTATTCATCATTCGTAAGGTTTTGTTTTTATTTGTTTGATACATTTGAACATAACATAAGTTTTATCAATCTAAAATAAAATATTAACTCATATATATGGTATTGTGATATTAAATTTTCTGTTTTAGACAAAAGTAGTTATTTGCGGTCTTTAAAACTGTTTTCTATCATTTTTCTTAACAATTATAAAATACTTTTATTGTTTGAATTATGAATATAAGATAAAAATGGTCGTTCACAATTAGGTAACAAAATAACATTTAAAAATACAACTAAATGTAAAAAAAAAAACTTCTGTTAAAGGTTTCAGGTGAAAAAAATCATGATGACAGTTGGGTTACAAAAGTAAGGGAGCAATAAATTCCATTCATCCTTTTTTATATCGCATTCCAATAAGAATATTTATACACATTCCTATCGGAAAAAATGTTACAACGGATTTTAATATGAATACCTTCAGCTACACATTCCACAATATTATGTAATTAATTAAATAGTGAAAAACATAATACAATACACAAAATATCTAAATTTTCACATTGATGATAAATCGTAATAATACTAATGATCGTGATAGCATATGTGTGTGTGTAAATACATATATTAGTAATATTCCGATTTCTACACTTTTAATCATTTTTTTATTCGCGTTGTTTTCATTATTTTAGTAGTCAAGATACAAAAAAGTACATTTTATTAGAAAAAATAGTAAAATATTGTTTCTGTTATATATGTACTAAAGAAATTAATCGTTTATTTCAAAAGTGTTAATCATTGACAATTTTTCAGAAAAACAATTTTCTATTCCTTCTGTTATACAAAAACAATATCTTTAAAAAAGCACAATGCGAAATTCTTTATTTGTATAACATGTTTTCGAAAATTATTCGTTATGTCAATAGTAATAAAAAAAATCATTAAAACATAAATGGGACCGCATTTGAAAAGAATTAAACTTCGTCAATTCTTTTTTTTTTATTTTAACATTTTATGAAATTTGCACCTGCGCTGCAGTGCCTTTAGCGAATCCAATGTATAAGCCATTAGTTGCGAATTAGCTTGATTATTTGTTTTTCCTTGTTCTTAATGTAAGAGTAGGTCCCTAGGCCACTTTCTTTTCAGTCTGCCTCGATCAGGTAACAGGGAGCATGAAATAGAAAAGACTAATGGATTGGTGTGATTTAAAGTTGAAGAATGAAATGAACTGTATTTGTTGTGGATTCAGGATTTTGCTGTTGGAATGTTTAAGTCGTTGTATATAGTGTTATTCGAAACGTGAATTTTTAAAATAAAAAAAAATAAACAAATAAAAACATCGACAGCTCATTATTTGGCTGATCGCGTGATCCTAATTACCGTCACAACTCTTTCTGCTGTAGATTTATATTTACAATTCTACTCAAGTTATTCACTCTTAACCATTTTTATTACCTGGAGACCTAAACAATTCTAGCTTAACCCGATGTGACGTACCTAATAATAAATACAACAGAACAACGTGGTACCAGGATCTTTTAAAGATCAACCCGCTGAAGAAAAAACAACGAAGAAAACACTTCGTTAAAATGCCTTAATCTGTAGGAGGACTTAACTATCAAAAGTATTATATTTAAAAATTACATGGAACCACAAAGAGTATCATTTTGTCCAAACAACTGCAACAGTATTCTTGTGATTTTCAATTATTTAATTAAAACAAAAATATTTGTTATGGGAATTCGTTTGCAATCTCATAAAATATTTATACTTTTTTTTAATTATCAAATTGTTTCGTAGACTGTATTCCATTTCTTTCCAACTGTCCAATTCTTATTGCTACTAGCCTGAAAGATTGTTGAGTATTTCAAATAAATTATGATCTATTTATTATGATAAAGAATCATCACAGAAATATATTTTGAAAATTCGTATGTTATACCACCTGAGACTATTTCAATGAATATAAGAACTGCCTAATATTAAAAATAATTTGATTAAATATTGATCGATTTTAATTAAAATCGTTAGGAATTTTTGTGAAAATCATAAAAAAAAAAAAAAACGAAATAGAACGCTGCAAATTATTTCACTATCATTTATTATTTCCAAACAATAATACATCTAACGTAACATTACCTTCCTAGTTACAAAGGCAAATAAATAAAAGGTGATTCCAATAATTGGACTAAACTTTTATTTTAATAATTAGTAATGTGCTAAAAAAATTAGCATTACCTATGTAACACATTCAAACTTCAAAAACCAAAAAAAAAGGATATAATCTTTGAAGTAGAACATATTAAAAAAAAACTAGAGAACATATCGTTGCTTCTAATTGTCCAATTTTAACGATTTTTTTGTTTTTGTTTTTTTAGGAAATTACGTAAAATTAAACAAAAAAGACCATAGGAATATGTTATATAGATAAATTTAAAGGGTGTCGAGAAAATGATTTTAGAGAAGTTTCATTGAAATCGGTACATTAGTTTAGGCGCTGCAATCTATAGCAACGCAGGTTTTTCGGCCACCATTTTGGAAATAAAAGGCGGTTAGTAATGTCGATGAAGGAAGATCATCCTCGAGTGAACTCTGATTTTATATCCTAATTTAAACTTTAAAAAATCGGTCCAGTAGTTTCGGAGAAAATGCGCGGACGGCGGACAGAGAAAATTTTTGTTATTAGTTTTTCGAATTCTACGTATCCTGAAATTTAAAACCTCAAATTTTGAAAAGGGTCAAGTTTTTGAATTTTTCGGTCGATCACAATTATTGAAAATAATATACTAAAAATTTATAAAATCGATCATCTAACGTGTGACTTCTGCTAATTCAATTGAAACGAAAATGTTATTGTTTCAAGACATATAGAAGATTT